GGGGATACATTTTAATTCTTCGGTCACATCAAAATATGGAATGCCGTGCACGTGTGTTTCACAATAACGAACAGTTTTTTTGTCTTTTGGTGACAAATAATTGAAAGGATAACTTGGCCGAAACAAATAATGATCGATAAATTTTTATTAGATAGTTTTACGTCTAGAATAGCCATTTCTCTACATTGAAAATGTTTGTGAGGATACGTAATGTAAAATCCGTCCATGTCAATGATGTATCTAATATTTTTTAGATTTTGTGTCATTTTGACCCAAAATTTTAAAAGTATTTACACGTGACACGTGACACGACTAAAAATATGTTTGTTCCAACAAACTTCACATAACAATGCTTCATTACTTCCCATCATCCCATTTCTTGCTTCTGCTCTTGTCTTCCTGTAATTTAAGTAAACAGAATCACATTCACTAATGATCAACTAATGACTGTCATTGTTAAAAAAGTATTTTTAACTACTCTAGTATTCGTAGATGCGGTACACACACAATATTTAAATATAATTTGTTAACACTAAATCATACACACGTAAGAAAATAACAGAAAGAAAAGTAACTTTGTCAATAGAATAAACACTTAAAATTGCAATTAACAATTTAACTGGTGCCGGCGGGGATCGAACCCGGGTACTGTGAAATTTACAGCTTGCGCTAACCATCTGAGCTACCACGGCTTAATATAATACACACACAATATTTAAATATAATTTGTTAACATTAAATCATATACAAGTAAGAAAATAACAGAAAGGAAAATAACTTTGTCAAGAGAATAAACACTTGAAATTGCAATTAACAATTTAATTGGTGCCGGCGGGGATCGAACCTGGGTACTGTGAAATTTACAGCTTGCGCTAACCATCGGAGCTACCACGGCTCCATCATATACACACACAATATTTAAGTATAATTTGTTAACACTAAATCATACACACGTAAGAAAATAACAGAAAGAAAAGTAAGTTTGTCAATAGAATAAACACTTACGACACATTGTACAACGATATTTTAGTGGATGAGATGTTTCGCTCTATTAGATAGATATTATATCTATCTAATAGAGCGAAACATCTCATTTTATTTTATAGATATATAGATAATAAGTAATAAGATTTTGTATTTCGTAAATAAAAATTGTAAAAAAATTAGGTAATGTGTTTTATTGATGATTCAGATTACCGTTGCAGTTAGGAACAAAGGAGTATAATATAATAGCACTGATAATCCGACGCATGAATAGACAATGACGGTATTCAATGAACAATAGATAAATAACAATCGGACGCTTATGACGGTGGAGGCCCTCACCGGATATCAATTAGATAAGAGTTAATTGATCTGCACATCTCCGGAACCAAAAATGGACCGCAGATTTGTGATAAGAGCATGCCAAAACTTTTTTTTTTAGGATTGTGAGTCCGACGAACGATGTACCACTTCGGAATCAGTGAGCCAGAACTGGTACTAACTAACTACTATCAATGGATATTGAAATGTGAAAACAAAATTTCGGAGACAATCGTAGTACTGGAGGTGGATAATTTTATTTAAGTATATTTTATTAAACACAACATTATTTAAAACACTAAGTACTTATTTATGAAATGTTATCCCTTTATTTGAAAATTTGCAAGTTTCGGAGGAATTTCCGCAGTTGGATATGCTTCGAAACACCATTTTTACGTCTCTGCGTCCGAAACAGTACTGTTTCAGTTTATACAAAGGTACTCTGTGCAGTACTGGTGACCGAAACAACCGCTCCTCGCGCGCTTCTGGCCTACGAGTCACATGTGCGGCGACAAGGTCACGAGCTTTTACGACTTCTATTTATATTTAGATTTCTGTGATAAATATAGATGTATATAGGCCACAGCATCTAATCACCATCAGGTGGACTGTGTGCTCGTTTGTCGCCCTTATTCCATAAAAAAATGAAGGATACGGTGACACACTAAGACATTCACGATACTTGTGACACAGGAACTGTGAGAGAGAACTATAACACAACCAGAACCTAAATCCATAAATCCAACGATTGCGCTTTTCAGAAGAACTGATTCAAAACCACGTCTCGTTGAATTGTATTTTCCTAAATAGTGATCTCAGACTATTAGGCTATGCGTTCGCAGTCGCGATAGAACAATAATATAATTTTATTTGGTTAAAAAAAGTATTTTTGTTCAACATTTTATTTGTTGTTGAACCATTCTGCTTTATTATGGTTGTAGCACGTGTGGGTCTGCTCAGGGAAGGACTACTCTCTCAGATAATACCAGCGTAAAATGTTAGCTTAACGCTGCTGTTTTTCGTATGGTGAGTTTAAACAACAGGAGACCCTGTTTTACTGGAAACTAGGCATTCCATTTCGTTCGCACGGTTACACCTCGATCCGATTTTTAAATCTAAATCGAAGATACATGTAGATGTATATTGGTATATACCCATTCGTCCTATAAACATAATATAGCTGCAGCGTGGTTTTACCACGTTGGGAACATGTAATTTAGCGTTGAGGTGTTAAATGTCCTCTCTATTCATTTTTAGTTTTCTACTATCGTTAACGACTGTAGAAAGCTAACGTTGCTAAGCCTGATAAAGTTTTAGCTTAGATATTGTTATGTAACGTTTCACATTAATAATAAAACTCTTAAAAGTACAAAACTTCGTGCTGAAAACGTTTACTTTTGAACTATTTGTATATTGAATTATAAAGTTTGAAACTTAGGATGAGCGCTAGAAGATTTGCTTTTAAGACTTCATTAATTATGAGAGACGTGTAGTTATAACTTCTCAGGTGCTACCCATTTGTTAACAGTGAAAGTCGTGACTAGGGAATTTCTGTATTTTATAATCTAGAATTTTCTCCTGTATTGTGAAGGCATCACGGCGGCACAGACAAACATCCAGACCCGAAACAAGTATTTGTAGGCCATACAAGTACTTGTTCCACCCGGGATTCGAACCCGCCGCCCCTGCGCTGCATCTCATTGCTAAGCCACTGCGCCATTTTACTTATCATAATATCTTTTTATCGTAAATGGAATAATTTTTATTTTCATTTACATTATATTAAACCTTTTTATACTCAATATATTATATGGCCTAGATGCCTCCCAGCATTGCGTCCTCTCTGCTCGTAAAGTTTCAAAGCAATCGGTGAAGTTATTCTCGAACATGTGAAGAAATCTACTGCAGTAAAAAGTGCAGTGGCTTATTTTTAATTTGTATTATAGGTAGGTATATAAAAATTCAATAAGAATTGTCAATTATTATTATAAGTTGACAATCCGTACAAATATCATTGTTTACGAATTTTTAATCCATATTATAAGTAAATTACAATTCAATACAGATTTTTAACGATTAAAAAAAGGAGGACGATTCTCCATTTGTCTACATATTTTTTATTTATAATCAGGCATAGCTTCTTTGCTTTTAGTGGTACTTATTTTATTAAATAAGTTATACATTAAAGGTATCCGCTATAATCAAATAATTCAAATTCAAATAATTTTTTATATTAATAAAAAATTATAAGCAAATAAATTATCCAAACGTGGACAACTAGGGGATAAAGTTTTTAGTTTAACATCCTAATAAAGTTAAATATCCCTAGATATATAACAAGATATAAAACAAGATCTCAGGCTACATCACCAGTAGGGGCTGTAGTTAAGCGCCTGCTTAGAATAGAAACAAAAAGTCGGAACTTTCATTCTTCGATACACTGTATTTTGGCACCGACTTTAAAAGCTTATTAGTTTTGGTTGGCGGCTTTTTTTTAATTTAATTTTAAAGTATCACTGGTTTGTAAGCCTTTTCAAAAAAGCAAACTAAAGTGTTAAGTTTCTAGTAGAGTTGAATTGTGTGTAATTGACTTGGAACACAAAGAAAGCCCGGGTTTGTTTGGAATTCTCATTGTATTTAGATGGAGGAGCGGAGCGATGAGCGTTTTGAATTTGCAAAAACATAATTTTTCACATTTTTATCATTTTCTTTGTTTATAATCCTTTTATTCTTCGTATCTGCCAAACAACAAATAAGTCAGTATGGAAAAATATTTTCAAGGATGCGTGGAAGACGATCAAATCGAATTTTCTACATCGAGAATCGAAGAATGTTTTGAGTGTGCAACTCGACGGTAGACATTCTCTGTGTGCTCCGCACGATTTAAATCCTTAAAATTTGTTTCATAGTTATTTCAATCGATAGAAGTTAAATACCAAGTCTCTCTATTCTGATTATCAAGTGATAGTGTTTTCTAAAAGTGTATTTATCTAAATCATAACTTTTTAATCGGCATAAAAAAGTCAGTGTAAATATAAAACACTCATAAACTTATTCAATAACAGTGTATAAACCAAGTTACCCTAGATGTGTTGTGTCGAACGTTGATAGAAAATAAGTGAAAAGAAAAATTGTTGTTAAAAATCAGTTAACGTTTGAATATCTAAAACTTTCCATGATCGATAACACTGCGTTAACCAATCAGCTGAGCGCTAATCATAAATTTAAAATATAGTAATGACATTTTTGAATCGTGATGAGTGCCAATAAATTGGTCTAATGGTCTAATGCGCTTGCACGAACGCCGTATGTCGTGAGATCGAATCTAATCCGATTGTGAAAATTACGTTTTTTCTTAGATTAAATAAATTTTGGTTTTACAACAAAAGTTAAAACATTTACAATTTATAATATAAATCTGAATCTGACTATACCTACTATTAGAACAAAAAAGAATATTTGTGTGGATTATAACAGAACAACTTAAGACACGACAAAACGACTTTATAAACTGTCTGAACTTTTAAATAACTTTTAAATAACTTTTAAAATCGCAATACAAATGTCATAGATAATTATTATACCACGCATGACAAAAAAAAAAACTATATGATAAGGCCCTCATCACACTATGATTTATTTTGTGATTATTTAAAATATATAATATTAAGGATTAGATATAACTATTTCGAAAAATGAATACCGGAAATTCATTACAACAAGAAAATGTGACAACAAGAAGACCTGCTAAGTGTAACTCGGAGAATGACTTAACGAAACTAGAGATCGATATGACATCATCGTCGACAATGTTATTTGAGAATACTATGGACAGTTTACCGAATTTATCAACAATTGAGAATCCTATAGTAGTTGAGTTAAAAGTAAATAATAATAATTTAGCCTTAAAACTACAGTCAGCGCATAAAGAAATTGAAAATCTAATAACAGAAAATTTTAAACTTAAACGTGAGTTGGAAAATTGTCAAATGGTAATTAAAACACTAAAACAATTAAATTCAACTCAAAATAACGCACGAAAACAAAGCACGATCTACAAACTCAACACCGAGAAGAAAGGGAACTAAACAAAATAAACTTAAACAACTACAAGATATCCTGTCACCATTGCTTAATAATATAAAATCTACAAATCAAGATTGTACGGCTGATAGTAGTATACTGACAGTTACTGGTGATATATTAACTAAAGATAGTAAAACGGATACTGCAACAGACACTTATACATACTCTGACAGTAACATGCACAAAAAGAAAACACTAATATGCGGATCACTAAAAGAAATAATAGTTTTAGCAACAAATCTGAAATAGCGTTAAATGTTCAGCAGCAAGATGTTGTAAATAAAGTTATGGAAGGAAGGAAGGATAACATATCTACTAATATTACTAATAAACGGTCAATATTGGTGGATCGTATATCTGCAAAAAAGAAAATCATAATTATTGCTGATCAGTATGGGAAAAATGTCAGACACTCATTGGAAAAACTTCTGGGTCCGGAATATCAAGTTTACTGCTTTATTAAACCTGGTGCCTGGTGCCTGATTCTTCAGAGTTTTTTCGTGGTCCAAAATAATCTGTATCTCTTGCATCAAAACATAAACGGAATTATTAACAAATCCGACTTACTTGCTGTGTGTTTAGCGGAATTAAAAGATGAAAATAAAATAATTGGGATTATTTGTATAACCGAGCATAATATGGTTGAAGATGACATTAAACATCTATGTATACCAAATTTCAAATTAGCTTCAAGTTATTTGCGAAAAAATAGAAAAGGTGGAGCTTGTATTTTAGTAGACTATAATATTAAGTATAACACAATTTACGAAGTTCAAGCTCTATCCATTAGTAACGAAGTTGAATGTTGTGCAATTGAGCTTGTTGAATTTGGAATAATTATAATATGCATGTACCGTGTGCCTAAAAATTCTGCTAAGGATATTGATACATTTTTAAATATATTGCAAAATATATTACACAAGTACTGTTTTAAATCAAAAAAACTTGTCATTTTTGGTGATTTCAATGTTGACATATTAAAGCTAAATATCTTGACAAATAGCATAACACAAATTTTGAGTAGTTACAATTTAAAAAATTGAATTTAATGAACCAACAAGGTTATGTAGTGGTACCTGCATAGATAATGCATTCCATAATTTCACAAAACTAAATAGCGAAATACGAGATTTTGCACTCTCAGATCACACAGCCCAACTGCTGAAAATTCCAGTAATGAAGCATCATGCAATGACATATTGGTATGTTTTTAAAAGCGATTTTTGCAAAAAAAATTTAAAAAAGTTTGTAGATTGCCTAAACTCTTTCACATTCAATGAATTATTTTCTTTAGATAATCCTAATGACGCCTTTGATTATTTCTTTGACATTTATAAATTATGTTATGATTTATGCTTTCCGAAAATAAAGATAAGAATGTCTTTAAAAACAAAACCGAAATGGATTACAAAAGGAATTAAGTTGTGTAGCAGAAACAAAAAGGAATCAGTTATGGAAATTTCGCCTTAATCCTAATAAAGACTCAAAAAGATAAATTTAAAAGGTACACTAAAAAATTAAAGAAAATTATTGAACTCACAAAACGATCGCAGAATAACTATTACATAGCAAATGCAAAAAATAAATGTTTAGCTACGTGGAAGGTTATTAAGAATAACCAAACAAATGCCCCTATAAAACAAATCGACAAAATTATATATAATAATCGAATAATAACAAACCCGAAAGAAATAGCTCAAACTTTTAACGATCACTTTATACAAATGGAGCATAAGAAACAGGTTAATGAAGAGAACGCAGGTAACTATTGTATACAAGTTAATAAGTCTTCGTCAATGTTTATGGCCCCTGTCACTCCTGTTGAAATATATGAAACAATAAAGTCACTTAAAAATACCCAAAGCACAGGGTATGACGGAATAACTACTAAAGTAGTCAAAGAGACAGCATTTTTGATTGCGGGTATTTTATGTCATATAATAAACTTATGTATAGAGCAAGGCAAATTCCCTAAGTCTCTAAAGCTGTCAATAGTAAATCCATTATTTAAAAAACCGACAGATGTGATGTTGGATGTTATCGCCCTGTTGCTTTGATTACTGTGTTTGCGAAAGTTTTTGAAAAAGTTTTATATAAACGTTTAAATAAATATCTCGAAGATAATAAGATACTCGTAAATGAGCAAAAAGGATTTCGTAAAAATAAATCTGTAAACGCGGCAATTTATGACCTGCTCAACAAAATTATAACATGTATAGACAAAAAAATACCTGTGGCCGCGCTATACATGGACATGACTAAGGCTTTTGACTTTGAGGATCACAAAATATTAATAAGAAAATTACATCAATATGGATTGCGAGGGACAGTTTTAGATCTTTTTGAGTCATATCTTACACACAGGACGCAGATTACTGAAATAAGGAGAATATGTCCTATAAAGTTGACAGAAAAGGTTTATCGATCGACACCCCGAGCTGTGTACTACGGCGTTCCACAAGGAAGCGTTTTGGGTCCACTCCTGTTTCTTTTGTACATTAATGACCTTCCATCGGTGATACAACAATCTATGGTCCTTTTTTGCGGATGATTGTACGGTCGTTTATGAAGGCAATAATACCCAAAGCTATGAAATTGAGATTAACAATTCCATTGGTCTTATAATTGATTGGCTCGTAAAAAATAACTTAAATATAAATTTAGAAAAAACTAAAATTATGAAATTTAAGTGGCAAAAAAGATAGTTTATCAAGTTTTAATATTAATTATAAAGGTTCACCAATCTATGAAACGATAGAAACTAAATTTTTAGGAATTATCATTGATAACCAACTGAACTGGAAGGCACAGGTCGATAGTGTTTGCAGTAAATTATATAAATTTTCATATGCCTTGTATAAGTTAAATAAAAGAGCAAATACGCAAACACTTCGTATAGCATATTTTGGATACGTTGAGTCAACACTTAGGTATGGTGTAATGTTTTGGGGAAACTCAGTGGATCGGGGAAAAGGTATTCAAAGCTCAAAAAAGGTGTATTCGAGCAATCAAAAATCTACACTGGACAGACAGCTGTAAACCACATTTTAAAGAGCTGCAAATTCTAACTGTTCCCTGTTTATTTATCTATGAGACGGCTGTGTTTGTCCATAGAAACCTGCCACTGTTTGAAAATTTAAATAATAGAAGGTATCCTCTGAGATTAAAAGTTCGACAATCAAAGTCAGCAATAATGCGAAAAAGTATATTTTGCCTATCCATACCTATATATAATAAAATACCTAATGACATAAAGAAAATAAATATACAAAGCTTCAAAAAATCATTAAAAACATTATTAATTACTAAATCTTACTATTCTATTAATGAATACCTTAATGACATAGAAATTAAATGATTGTTTTGGTATACATAATAGTATAATATTTATATTTGATTTGACATACCACATATTATACATTTGACATGATATTATGATAACCTGATGACCTCAGACAAAATATTTATTTTGTCTGAGCCGATGACATCGACATTTTTGATTTCTTTTATATATATATATATATATATATATATATATATATATATATATATATATATATATATATATATATATATAGTTTACTTACGTGACATTAGCTTAAGATGCAGTATTTATTGTTGACTCGTGTATTTAATAATAGTAATAATAATTTGAAAAGATGACATTTTTATTTACTTCACCTTTTTCTTTTTTTTCAATATAGACGTAAAGGCGCCATTACGAAATGTGTTGTGTCATGGGTATCATTGCAAGACGCTTTTCACTTATAATATATAACATATTTGTGAATATTTAATACCACCTACAAATATGATTATTGTATTTTTATAATTTGCAATCAATTTTAATAGATTCCATTTTGCTGTTATTGGCTATAACGTGAAAAAATATATTTGTACACCACACTGTGGTAGAATACACGGTACCTACTGTAAATTTTTATATCACCTAACTTACTGTATTCACAAATAAATAAATGAATTTGAATTTGAATGAATTTGAATGAATGAAGGTTAATTTACATTTAGGCACTTGAAAATGAAGCCAGAGCCTTTGTTTTAAATATGCTTTGATAATGTGTTACGTTAATAAATAAGAAGAACGATGTTTGAATTTAGTTGAAAAAATGATGTTTGTTTTTAGTGTCTTGAATGTGAATCCATTGGTACACCGGTGGTCCATGAACCAGTGGTAGTTACTAAAGGCACCCGAAGTCGTCTGTGAAGGCATCATTTATTCTCTCACATTTAGAAAAGTATGCAACATTTCTGGAGTTGGTCAGTATCCAGACACTGCCAATACGATTAAAAAACAAAGTGTTGCTACATTTATATAAGGGCTGCACAATAGTGTTATCACACAAATTTTTATATATGTTTTACTTATAGAGCAAACTTAAAAATCAACCTTACCAAAAAAAACCAACCTTACATTATATCTAAAAGTTGGTGGTCCACGGCAAGATAAAGGTTAAAGAACCACTGGCCTAGTATACAGTATGTTAAAACCAATGAATTTTTAGTTTCTATGAAGTATTATCGATTCAAAAAAAGTATGCTGCTGAAATTTATCAAATATTTAACCTCATTTGCAAGTTGCGCCGCCCTGGTGGCAGAAAAATTCGTGGTTACACCTTGGTATCGCTAGTGTGAACTGGTGAGCTCGGACTTAGGTACTGTATTTTATAGTATTTTGTTTTAAATAGACATGTATATTTTTGTATTTAACAGCTTTATTTTTTTCATTTTGTAATTTTAATATGAAACATGCTTTGTTTACCTGCAGTTCATTTTTAATAAAGAATATCATATAATTGACCTTAAAAAACGTTACAATAAAAGGAAGATACCTGCGGAGCTTATTTTGCCCTTTATTTTTCATACAGAGATACTCGTTTTGAAACAGTGGCAAGTTATAAAAAATACGTTGCCGTCAAACGTTTTTTTTATTTATTCCTTAGGAAAGGTCGTCCTATGGTCGACAGTGGTTGTGAGGGGCTGT